AATAAACAAAGACTTTGATTGTCTTGAAAAAGAAAGGATTCTAGATTTGTGATAGTTATATAGTACTATCACATAAATACCTATAATATCGTAAATTGCTTATATTAATTTGGCAAAGATTCATCATGTGACTATACTTTGGAGCCACTCTGGTTATTTTATCATGTGTTGATTAATTCATAAATTAATTATGACATTGATGATGCAAATGATCAAAATATAAAATATAGCACCCATTGTTTTATTGAATTGTCAATTTGTCACTTTTGTTCTAAAAAGATCGTACTAACCAAAAGCACACCTTTTTATGGCTCAAAATTTAAATACTCAACTCTCAATGCATTGCTTAAAAAAAAAAAAGAAAATCTGATATATGAAAATAAAGAAAAATTTTATAAAAAAAAATTATAAGAAAAAAAAAAGAAAAAAAAAATAATAAGAAAAATATGAAAAAAAATTATAAAAAAAAATGGCAGAATTCTAATTCTGCTATATTTTTTATCCAATCCTGATTGCATATTAATATTTCAATTATTTTTGGACTAAAATTCAATCGATAGTTGTTAATAACTCTTCCAGCAGTACTAAATATCTATAAGTTAGCTTATATTTTAAAAATAATAACTAAACAAAATTCAAAAGTCTATTAACTGCTTCAGATGCTACTGAAGTTATTGGAATGGCAAGGATATCTCTTGCCATTAATGATGCAGATGGATATTTTTGTGCATTTATATTCCACTAGGTCAAAATATCAAATAGCTTTGTGTAAAAATGAGAAAAAAGTGGGTTAGCTAGGTATTGCTCGAAATCATTTAATTCATTTTTATCACCAGTTCTTTCAACATCAAGAGAGGTATCAAAGTTTTGCATTTCTTCATCCTGGAGAATAACCAAAAAATTCTCTAATGCAGCACTATTAAAAAAAACTACATGTTGCTTATATTTTGAATTATAGATTATTGTTAATCTAATATAAATAAAAAAATAATTAATATACAATAGTGCCACAAGCTAATAAGAAATGAGTTTATTTTTATAAATCCAAAACTTATAGTGATAATGCACTAACTAAATACTCCACTTATCCATAGTTAATATTCACTTACAAAATATTTGAGTATGAATTAGATTATTTAATAGTAGTTATTTTTTCAAATTTCAGATTACCTACTATAAGCTAGGGATAGGAAATACTTCTATTAAAAATTGAATGAAATAAATAGAATCATTATAACTAATCAAATAAAACACAAAAATATTGCATATGTTAAAATAAAATAGAATTTATTATAAAAATATTCAGTTTCTGCTATAAGTATATATTTTCCTTATGACATATCAAATATACTCAAGTAATTATGTGCCATAAATATTATTTAATTCTTAGTAGTATATATAGGCTCAAAGTGCCCATAAATACACTGCTAGGAGATGATTCGATTATTTCCCAACATGGTGCAATAAATGTGTTATCATTTATATGATTATATGACAGGGACTCATATTATCAAACATTTCTATCATTCCTTTGCATCTTTATAATGTCGAGAAATATCAAGTATAAAGCCTCGAGAGATAACTTATAAATCCAGAAAAAACTAATAAAAAAAAAAAAGAAATAATTCTATAATAAAAATTGATTAAAAAACACAAATTTTCATTATTTATTATAATAATATGGTAAATAATCTACACTTGTTCAAGTTTTTTTAAATTAGCACACTATGATAAATTCTAAAACATTATCCTCTAACTTATTCATATATAATAAAAGTTTATATCATATGGATAGCAGGGAGTCTTATTCCAGAAAATTGGGTAAACTATTATATTTTATCTCAATTTAATTGAAGCTAATTTATCCTCTGCTTCAGTATATACAAATTCATATTTTCTTTGTATATTTGGGTCAACAATGCCATCTTATAATGAGGATCCAATATTGATACAATGCAGTGCAAATCTTCTGTATTCACCAGTATTTGTCAAATTTTGATTGCATTGGCTTAACTATTTGACTAAGAAAAAAATCTGAGCTAGTATTATTTTGTTCAAGGTGTCTTCTAATTTTTAACAATTGTAGAAGAAAGTTATTTGCCATAGAATAGATAGTTTCTGAGATAGTATTGGTAACTATATTAAAAGTATAGACTGTTAGTACTGTATTTACGTGAAATAATACCCATGGTGTTATTTTATACAAATATAGTATAGTATGCACTTTATAGTGAAGTATATAAATAGAAATTAATATTTAGTATTACTTTTATAAAATAGTTTTAAAAAGCTACAAAGATACTTCACATGTTCCCAATCTTCACCTAGGGGTACTACTGACTCAAAACTAACATTACAGAATGCAAAATGGTTGAATACACTTCTATATGGAATAGTAGACTCCAATATCAAATACGTTGAATTCCAGCAGGTGGCTACATCAAGTGCTGGTTACTGACTTAAAACTAAATTATCACAATATCTAACAATATAATCCTTGAAGTTTTGCTGTCGATGTTGTGAACTATTAATCCACTTCACACAATCTTGAATCTTAACATCAACTATATAAGTACAATTAATTTTTTTAAACCAAACCTAAACATAACACGATCATTATTTAGTCTTCAAAGATTACATGAGATTTTGCATCCTTTGGAACTATGTCCTGAAGAATAATTTGTTAAAAAAAAACCTCATATTATCTGCCAAGATCGCTTTCTTAAATTTGATTGTTATATTCTCTGCAAAGTTTAAGTTTATTTTAAAGATTATATTATCTATTGGAGTTGCTACTTTCAAACACCACTTTTTTATCTAAGATATGCTAATGTGCTGATATTATCTCTATGTCTATGATAATGACTATTGCAACTACACTATAGGGATACCTGAAATAAAGAAGACAAGAATTAGAGGTATTTTAGAATTTAAAAAAAAAAAAATTGAATTGAATACTTATCTTGTCTTATAATTATATGCATTACCGATTAAATCACAGGTTAATAACAAATTCCAAAATTACATTGTCTACTAATCTCTTCTAGCAGACTTTAAATATTATTTAAGTGCTTAGCTTTTTATTTGTGCTATCTATGACATATCAATAGAGATGCCAAAGGTTGAATTGTCTAATTAAGCTTATTTTAAATACTTTCTTTTCATTTTATTTTGTATATTATGACTTTAAATTTTTTAAAAATTGGGTCTAATGTCTATTTTCTATAGAAATTTGAATTACTAAAATAAGAATAATCTCTAATATAATCAGAAAAACTAATATCTAATTTTAAATTTTGATTAGCACATGTGTGGTTATAGTTTAGTTTAGAATTGACTTATTATTAAATTTGTAATCAAACCCCTAAATGCAACTTCTTTAAATACAAGAGTGTTATAAATATTCTAACCCAAATATATTTTTGCCCCATAAATGCAATTTTTTTTATTATTTTATAAATACTTATTATTAAGAGTTTGGTTTTTATGAAGTTGTATTTAGAAGATTTTGACTATATTAACTATTTATTCTACTTACTATATTCACAGTATCTTTAACCACTTTAATCTGTCATTGATAATAAGATTTAGTATATGTGCATAACAGCATTGGTGTAGCAAACTTTTATTTGCAATAAGTATACTTTGTTCACTTAGCTTGCACTTTATATTAGTTATTGCTATGTTATTATTTGTTGTATTATCTATTGTAATTCCTATAATCTATAGAGTAATAAATGTTAGAGAACAATAAGAAAAAGTGGGTCAAAATTTGAGTGCATATTTAGAAATTGTATGCACTTAGAGAGGTTTCACCCAGTGTTGGAAATCATATGTTCAGTGTTTACAAAAACATAAATTTTTTAAAAAAATCTTTTATTTTAAGTTGCATAAATATAAATAAATTTTATTTGTAATCATTATTTTTTTTAACACAAACATAATAAAAGACAAGATATATTTACAAATATTTTTTTGAATTTCCAACACTGGTTTGACTATAAAACTTTTTTCTACAATGCAAACTATTACACAATATATCAGACCTTTTTAATTTGCATTAGACCTGAGATACCTACTCTAGAAGTAATATTCCAATCTTCAAGACATTTAAGAAATATATTGCTGATAGTAATTCCAGTGTGTAGTGTGAGAACTAACTTGAACAACAAGATTAATTTTTGGATGTTTCAATTTCTATTTATGAAGTGTTCTAATAAATAAATATTAATTTTTAAATTAAAATTTATTGCATGGATACTACACAATTTATAAACTTCTATGTGGCAAATAAAAAAGCCATGAGAAACTATTTGCAACTGTGTGCACTGCTTACAAAATATTAATTTATTCTGTACGACATCTGCATATTTAATTCAAAAAAAAAAAATTGTATGCAAAATTGTTTAATTGTTTCTGTATGCTGCACACAGTTTGCACAGTAAAAAATAATCATTGCTAGAAACATAAACATATGCTATGCTGTACATGTAATGGCCATGTATTCAATATTTTGGTTTGATGTCCAGAGATCTGTTGTGAAAATTAAATTTTAAGGTGCTTTATGCACCATTATACATATCTTTACTTCAAGATTTGTGACATGATTTTTACAATCTTCACATGTTGTCCTTTTGCTTATTACTCTAAACTGTGGCTATAAATTGTTAACAAATTTCAGAAATTCTTTGTGTTCAACAATATGAAATAGATACTCATGTATAATAATCATTTTTGCCAAATCTTGGTGGCTTCTCTTCTAAGATAATTTATAAACAATGACACCAGGTGTAAAGCAAGAAAATTGCAATATTTGCTGTGACTGAGTGTTAATATGTTTACTGCATTTTGTGTTTTTTAAATGACGAATCAAGTTGCTAGTTCTTATTTTACCACCATTATATTTAAAGGAAGTTTTACAATATGTGCATCTAACATGATCCTCTAGTAATTTAGTTAAAAAAAATAAAAAATAAAAAAATAAAAAATAAAAAAATAAAAAATAAAATAAAAAATAAAAAAATAAAAAATAAAAAAATAAAAAAATAAAAAATTTTAATATTTGTACTTTACTTTGTTTGTCATCTTTTACAAAATGATTTTCTTTAAAAACCCATAGAGGTTTGCCACCTTTGTGTTTATTGGTATCAGAGGTTATTTCGGTAGAGGTTACTTTGACTTCAGTAAAGATTGCTTTAGTTATTTCTAGACTTTCATCTTTACTACCAATTAGATTCATATTTGCTTTATCACTATACTTAATACTTGTATATTAATTAAATCTATTTTTTTTTATTGTAGCATCATGAATAATTCTGTATAGCTTATTTTTTTTATTTTCTAAAAAGAAAAAAAGACTTACTAGAAACTTGTAGCCTTTTATATAGGTTTTGATATGTAATAATATTTCACATGTTTCTTTTAAAATTAAAATAAAAAATCAATTATTTTATTGTATAGCCTTATGTGACAACCTGTGCTTTTTTTATTTACTTATTAGCATGGGATTGTTATGTCTGACACTGTGCAATAACTATAATAAAAGAGTCACCATTGTGATAATTACTTTGCTTGATTAAAATAAAACTTTGGTTAGTTCTAATTTTTTTATTCAATTGCAAAACTGCCTCGCCAGTAGTCTCTGAATTAACAAAAGTGTCTATTATTTAACTTGTCATGAAAAGGTTCCAATTTTCAAAGAATTGTAAGGTCAGAATATCATTTAACTGCGCCCTAGATTGATGATAACTTTGTACAGTATATATGTTGAGAAGATACCTAAATTAAGATATATAGCCAAATGCTATAAACTAATTCTAGAACTATAAACTACAAATAAGTGAAACCCAATATTACAAAGTTTGTTAAAGCATTTAAAAATACTTGCCGAGTATTTGCTAAATACTTGGTAAATGCTTATTGGCATAAGGTATATTGGGATGTAATTATAAGCTTATTTAAAATACTTAAAAAATATTTAAAAATTAAATATATTATAAATATAAAATATAAGATTTAAAGTACTTTAATAATATTAAATTAAAGTTAAGTACTTATTTAATATCGCTGTTTGGTGGCCTAAGGTTGTGTTTAATTCAAATTTATGATAAAAATTGTTGGCTAGAAAGAGGCATAAAATAATTTGGTTGAGTCTTGAGACTTTCTTGGTGCTGCAGAGATCACAGGGTACATAGTTAGGATTTCAAATAAGTCTTTTTTATAACTCTACCCTCATTTCTTATTTCTCTTTTAAATAGTTACTAATGTACAATTCTATTATTTTGACATGGCAGATTGGAATTTACTATATTAATCGTAAATTTCAATTCAAGGTACTATGATTCGATTTGATATACTTTTAAATACATAAGGTGATGTAAATTATAACTTTAATCAATTTATAGATTTTATATAAATATAGATTTTACAGTGATTATACTTTTTCTCTTTAAAAATCAAACAGGGAAATTTTAGTGAAAAATTACAGAACAAGGCTAATGATAGAATACGAACGACAAATATTATATCTACTTGGATACTTCTGAGTTTTGGAACTCAACTGAATTAAATTTATTGAAGGTAAATTCAAGCTGCTTACTTACTTTTCAATGCATATGAAATAAATTTATAAAATTCAGCTAATCAATTATATTTACATTTTCTCTGCTATTTCACCTTTTGCTTTGGTTCAATCGATTCATTTAATCTATCTGATTTTTAGAAAATTTCAGAATTTACATCTGTGCCATGCTAATTGCATATCATTTTCAAGAGAGGTAAATCTGACATTTAACTTACATCCTGCACGGAAATAGATACAACTTTTTTTAATTGCCAAATTAGTGCGACAATTAAAGTCTGCATAATCCTATGAATTTCACAGGTTACTATTATGAAGACAATAGTAATATGCAGGATCAAAAGCAGCGATTATCAATCACCTGGGTTTTCTCACCTTCATTGACATAACTCTTTCTTGTTTGTGCTGTACGTGCTTATAAATCACCTGGATTTTCTCACCTTCAATAAAATAATTTTCTTGCATGAACATTGCCATGAAGTTGGATATTATTTAGAAAATCGTTACCCTTAAATAGCATGTATGCTTTCAAAATAGTCCATGCATTCAAAAATAACATGTACTCTATATTAGGGTTCTAACAAGAAATTAGATATAATGGTAAAATTTTGCAAAATACAGTAACACCCTGGCTCACTCTAAATAATTAGCATATATTCAAAATAATGCATAGTTTGGCATTATTAGAGTGTCTAGAATTCTGTGGTGCATAATTTTGCTCACTCTAAAAAAATTTTTTTTTGTATTATATTTGGTTTTAGAAAATGATTAAACTTACAAAGACAATACAAAAAGATATTTTTAGAGCAAGCAGAATTATGCACCGCAGAATTCTGGTTATTTTGTAACAATATGGTATGTACATAATTATCT